CAATTTCCGATCCAATCGCAAACTGGAAAAGCGGGGGATCAACAATGCGGCGCCCACTGTTTTAATTAACGAGGCGGAACGCCATAAACACTCGAGAGATATTAAGGTATCTACCGATCTGCTTTACGTCTCCAACAAATTCTATTCCCATACCAGCCAATTTACAAACTGCGTTTGATATCCTTTGCTGAGCTGCCCAACTATCTTGCTGGCTAGGCCCAATTCATCACGTGTTGTGATTGTTTATCGTTGGCCGCGCAACAACAAAGGCTTCGAACTCGGATTTTTGAACAGCTTTCCTCGAACGTCGGGTAATTGTCAGAATCTATGATGGAACCTGCTCTCGCGCGGTCATCCTCGCGCCCGCGACCTTCGTCCAGGCCCACAACTCCTCTGAGGCCCAATTCTCGGTCGTCAATTCGCGAAGCCCATGGTTATGGGACGAGTATCAGCAATGCTGGCTACACACAACCCGCAATCAATGCTCTCGAGCCGCAGTTTGCAGAACTTGCAGATTCTATGGCTGATCTTGAGGCGAACTTCATGCACCTTCAGTTGATGCACGAGAGCTTGACGCGTTTCAGTGAGAGCTTTGCCAGCTTCCTCTATGGTTTGAATATGAATGCGTTCTGTGTCGACTTTCCGGAGGTATGTCCGATTAAGCTTTACTTCCCAAATCGTCTCTTGCTCACTAAGTTAGGCACCAATAGCAGATTCATTTCGGAGAGCTAAACAAGCTGAAGCTCAAAAAGGTATTGTCAAGCAACATTTGACAAAATTAACAATACCAATATACTCACTAAGATTGCAGAGGCTGAAGCTGAAGAAGTTCGGCGAGCTGTTGACGCCGAGGCAACGTTCATGTGAGTTACTCCTTAAGTTATAGCAGCATTGCACATTGGATGTTCATTCTGACCACGGTCCGGGGCCACAGGACGACAGATACCTCGTTCGTTGAGAATCCTCCTAGCACGATTTCCTCAAAGCCCACCTCCAAGTCCTCAATCCCTTCTCAAAGAGCTACTCGGAGGTCTTCAACGCGCGGGTCGACACGCGGTCGCTATACAACGAGAGGGACTAATCGGGCTCGGCCCAGCGCATTGCCTCGAGGTAGAGGTGTTCGGTGAGCGCTGTTCTGGGAACAGTAATGTCACAACCGGATATCCTAGTATACAACAGTGCTCCTGCGGGCTTTCCCTATAAATTCAAGATAAGGAAGATTGACAGCACTGTCGAGAACTGGAAACCAAGAAGCAGAGGTCTGACGGAGAAGGGCTGATCCGGCCCAATGGTCAAGGAACAGCTATACCAGATCAACCACAGCGCTACAAAGTCCCTGGGCTTCTTCACTAGCATGCGGCTGCCTCCATTCGAACCGAAGCCCTTCTCTTTCTATGGGCTACTTTTGTTGAGATTAATCTCAAACTTGCCATTGCCACTGAAGCCAGATTAATGACATGACAATGCGAAATGAAACTATCTTTAGAAATAATGGCCTACGCAATTGTTAGATCTTATTTCACGAGCGCAATATGATACACTTTAGAGTACTCCTTACCTTTAAATATCTCCCCAAAAGGCGGCGTCTCCCCCGGAGTTGCGGATCCAGGCCCGGTTTCTTATCGCTCCGAGCGGCGGACCCTGAGGAGAAAAAGATCTCTTTAACCAACATCAAGCCGTCCACAAAGCTTCTGTGGCGTCACATAGTTTCGGCTCAATAATCTTGAGGCAACACCTATCATTTTAACAAGTTTAATCATCTGCAGTCCAAGCTTTACTTTTTATCAGGTGTTGTTGCCGGTATATCATTTGCTCCTCAGGTCGCTTCAGTGCCAATCCGATCCGCACGGAACACTTAGTGGTAGCAGGGGACACGGAGGTTCACCACAGCCGTCAATAGACTCCAGCTTGGGCAACACAACGCTGAAAATTTCTATTGTTGATTGAGAGGCTGGCCTCTGAAAACTTCACAATGCGATTGTGAACCCCTACAACGTCTTTGACGACTTCTGTTCATGAATGCTTTGCATCCGTCCGCACTTGACTTGAGCTTATTGTCCTTCCTCGGCCTCTAACTGTCAAGGTATCTGTTGCTAGACGCCTTTCCCGGTGTCTTATATATCCTCAAGCTTTCCTTTCAGACTCTCAAATCTTCTTCAATTCTTCTAATACCCTATCTATCATCCTGATCTTTCCTCTCTACAACATCCTTGGAACAGCTTCTTCTCGTGCTGTCACCTTCGTCACCATGGCTAGCATTACTTCAGCGTCCCTTCTCTCGGAGGCTGAGTTCGGTTGCGGTAAGCAGGCATCATCACGATACCATCCTCTCTATAGATCTTCAAACTGACTCGTAGTAAGAGCATCTCGCCGCAATACTGACTCAGAGTGGAAACACTGCCGAGCAGTTCAAGAGCTCGTTCCTTAAAACGCACAATGCTCTGGCTCCTAGGCCATTACCTCTGTTTCCTAAGCCTTTGACGGTGGATGATCTCCCGAAGCAAAAGGGAGGCCTGCGTACTGCTTCTCTGCTAAGGCCAAAATACACGTGCTTGACTTGCTCTGAAGTGTGCGCCCCTGCCGATAGACCAGTTCATACGAAAGAGACTGGGCATCAGTTCTGTAAGTCGATCTAGTACGACTCTACAGTAGAAGGTAGCTGACACCCGCAGACATGGAGTCAAGGGGGCGTACTCTGTTCTGCCAAGGTTGCGGTGACTTCGTCTATGACCATGACTTGGAACGTCTTCGATCGTTACCTTATGGAATGCATCAAGGTTCGCATCCTGTCTGTCTTGATTGCATTCAACCTGCTAAGGCCCAGCAGCATCCAGGAGACGTAGATCAAGCGAAAGTTCATCGGATGAACAGTTTGTCAGGAACAACGCCAACAAGCGCGCTTGTGCGAAAAAGGGCGTCCGAGGTCTGTACAATCTCGGACAAACATGTTATCTCAACGTCATCCTGCAAACTTTACTGCATGATCCCATCTTGAATGCCTATTTCTTGGGGAATGGCCATCAGTCACACGATTGTACTCTCCAGGATTGCATAGGCTGCGCAGTTGCAGAAGCATTTGCCGACTTCAACAGCAGCGACAAAGCCGAAGGCTTTGCCGCATTGAATCTTCTTCTAGCATCATGGCGTGCAAGTCCTGTAGGTGGTCTCTTGACCGACTGCTACCACATTAAATACTGACTCTTTGTAGACTTTGGCAGGTTACCATCAGCAGGACGCACACGAGTACTACCAATTCCTCGTCGACAAGTTACATACGAGCACTGAAGGACACGTGGATGACCACGACCAAGGGTGTTCTTGCTTTTTCCACCAAACATTTTATGGCAAGCTTAAAAGTAGTGTGATGTGCGATAATTGCGGCAACATTACAAAAACGGAAGATCCTATGCTCGATCTGAGTCTGGACGTTCAGGTACAGGCGAAGAAACGGGCCATGGGCGGTGGTGTCGGGCCCTCAGCGACACCTACACTAAATGGTTGCCTGGAGAGCTTTACATCTCCAGAAAGGCTGATGGCAGGTGTCTACAATTGCAGTGAGTGTGGCGGTACGCCTCAGAAAGCAACAAAGCGTTTGCGAATCAAGAAATTGCCGGCGATTCTCTGCATGCAGCTGAAGGTCTGTCTCTTCTCTCTGAGGACCGCGGTGGACCTGGCTAACATGATATGCAGCGCTTCGAGCATAGCTCAGCAGTGTCCGAGAAAGTGGAAGGCAGGGTCGATTTCCCTTTGTCGATCAACATGCTCCCATATACAACACATCGGCACAGTGAGGATCTTGACAAATCCAAATTCGTCTATGATCTCTCTTCTGCCGTTGTCCACAAAGGCAAATTGGACGCTGGACACTACTACGTCTACTGCAAGCAGGGCGACCAGGTTTGTATATCCGTTATCTAGTGGCTTATGCCTCGTGTTTGCTGTCAGGAGGCAATGCACGACATTGTTGACATGGCTAACTCTTCTCTTAACAGTGGGTACTGTTCAACGATGATCAAGTCACTGCCGCCACCGAGGCTGAAGTCCTCAACGTCGATGCGTATCTCTTATTTTACAATCTACGATTGTTTACTGCTTCTTTGCAGTAGCTCGGTTGCGTTGCCTCGGCACCCTTCATACTCAATAGAGAGGCATCCATCTTTGTTTTCCCCTCCTGGCTCTAGCGGGCAGGAGTTCGTGGCATCGGAGTTCAATTCGCGGGTCTTATTTGAATTCCACTCGGGAGGGCCTCAACGTTATCTGTATTTTATTGCATCTTTCTCATCAGGCAGGCAGTTAGAAAACCGGGCTAAAATGGTCGCGCAAGACATAGCTTGGTGGTTGCTAGAATCTGATTCCAGCAGTTTCCTCATGATACGTTCTACGAAGTAGGAATGCTGCATTGTGGGGTTAAAACGGGTAGTTTCAACAGAAGGTAGCGGGCAAGCTGTGTTTCTACGAGCCAACTTAGCGAGCACATGATAAAGACCCAAAATCTTTGCTGCGCGACGGGGTATGTTTCTCGAGTCGTAGAGTGTAAAGGTGAAGTGAACGATGCCGCACCAGAGGGCTAGACGAAAGGGAAAAGTTCAACTATTGCAACCGGCCGCTACGTCCATAGGTAGCCTTACTAGACATGAACGTCTACAGGCGGCATTGACCCAATTGCAGTCGTATTCGTCACATTCACCACACTGTTTCGCTATGGCGGGCTCGAGGTGTAAGTAAAGTAAGGTGGAAAGGACGGGAGAAAGATCCTCATGAATTCAATTTAAAAAATTGAATTGGAAAGATAAAGGTTTTGACATAACACCTTTTGGGTTGTTCACACCGGCATCTCCTCTTCCTCTTTCCTATTTTCCCCCGTTGGAATTCAAGCGGATATGATTCCTTTTTGATTTTCCTCCATGGTAGCTACCGAGCGCCGAGCACGTAACGATTCGTCGTGAAACAGGAAATGGATCGAGAAAACAGATTTAACGGTACTGTATGAGGTAACTCTGTTAGTGATCCGCTCTTTCTTCTGCCAACCAGTTCTCCGAGTGTCGTCGGGTTGACCATGGCCATGGTGTTCCGACTCTGCGGCGTATGTGGGAACCAACCTTGTAGAAACCGATGTCCTGAGCCTTCTCACGGAAGCACTGTCTGCAGATGTCCATCTATAACCACTATCAGTCGCATATCCAACGCTTGTTAATCTCGATAGTTGGCTCATTTCCATACCCCGTACTTGCGGATCAGACCAGCGCGGTGGGCGCAAACACGGCTGTTTCAACGCAAAATATCTGATTAGCCATTCCTGCTCGCAATCCATAATATTTCGACCCTATCCTCCTGGTATCGCTTGGGGAATTTCGTTCACACACCATTCACGGGAACCCTTGCCGAACCTATAGAGAGATAACAAATTAGCCAAATCGTATCGACGCATTCCAGAATTGAAGAATATCCTTACTTGCGGGGCCGGCTGTACCAAACGGACTCGTGAGTCATCTTGAATCTGAGACGAGGAAAACCTGGGGGTTGACGGTGTTTGGCAGGTGGTTTGTCGTCGCTGGCGCTGGGCGTTGAGGATAAAAGATATTAGGGTTGAAAATGCGTTGTGTGCCTCTGTTCCGCTGCCGGGCTCGGGCCATCTCGCTTGAGGAGCGCTAAGCTGCTTCGGGATGCATTAGGCTATATTGGTCATGTGATTCGAGACTGGTTTTTTGGGCTTAGCGCCCCGCCTCCAGGTCCACGGTGTTTTGTTTCTCCGGAGTGCCTGGATATCAAAGCACATGAATCAGCGAGGAACGACCTCACTCACTTCGACGATAACCTTAAGGCTACCTTTCTTCTTTATTATTACACAGTCAATGATTGGAAAGGAAGCTATACTGCTGGATCTAGTTATATAAGACAGTTGACATACTTCTAGGCTTTTGCAAGTGCATATCCGAAGCCAATGCGGATGGGTGGTCAGCCCCTAGCTCTGAAGACACATCTTCTCCTTGATATCGTTCATTGAAAGGCATTCGAAATGAAAACGTTTCCGTATTATTGCGGGTAGAAGCCGCGCATGCCCAACTATGTTCATAGAGAAGCGCGCCTTGGAGGAAGCACATGTGGTCGCCATTGTGGATTGTCACTAGCATGTGCTAGATCATTAAGCTGCATTTAGCCTACAAATCGAAAAGTTTATGAAAGTCCGCAAGCGAAGGACTACTGCACTGTGGTAAAAGTCGATCCAAAGTTGAGAGTGTGTATGGTATGTCACCAGTGATATGTGCCACACAGGCAGCTTTGCTTCTGTTTCTGCCTGCTGGACGATGGTCCTACGGAGAGGAGGTACTCGCAACACTCGAAGCAGAAGCAATCATATTTGTCAACGTATCCAGGACTGGACATTGGCGTATTGCGGAACTACAACAACTGAACCGCCGCGTAGAGCGAGTCTTGATGCTTTGCATTTTGCTCGCCCTCACGCATCTTTCCAAAAGATGTCTTCTGTTCACTTCAGCCGCGATCACAGCTTGTCTATTCTTACGTTTGTATGCGCGACCAACAGACAACTTTATCCACCAGATGTGGACGAGTAATGAGAACGTCCTGGTACGATTATGGAATGCGCGCTCACTTTGAGACTTAATTCCAAGAGTCGTGCAGGATGTAACTCGATGCAGGCTAGGAGTGATGTTCCTGTATCGAATGGTCTCAGCTCATCGGGAGTTAGTTACCCCTGGGAAGAATAAGCCGGGGACTGGTATGACAATCCAGCATTTGTTTGGTTTCAGGGGCGCGGGATTACCCGCATCATATAAATACCTGGGGTAGATGTTGTTCTTGAATTGAATTCGTTCCGCAAAAGGAACTAAAAGTCAGCAGGACCACTGAGTATTGAAACACCAGGTAGCTCCTACACAGTAGCACGAACCGCGGATCATCTCCTGAAACCCCGCTGGATGTTTCCTTAGCAATGTGCCGATTTTCCGATGTGAGAAGAATCAATTGCTGAGCAGTATCTATAGAGCTACTACCCAGAACTGGATTTGTTGATGGCCCCAACAGTGACTGGGACCTCTGCGCGAGGTACGGTCACGGAGTAAAGTGCCGGTCTTCGCATAAGGTCCATACCCTTGTGTTGAGGATTTATGCATCGCGCCAAAGTTTTGTGCAAACTGCAATACCTTATGTTTCCGGGAATGGTTTTGTGATATATCCGACACTGTAGATACGGTACCTGAAGTTTCCGAGTCCCCGAGTTCCGGCCGGCGATCATAAACCATAATTTATGATTGGTTGGTTTACCTGTCACCATGGCACGATTCACGAAGACCTGCAGGGAATGTGCCGCTGTGACAATGTGATTTGGTGCTCAGTTGTACTGTGTAGGTACCACCCAGGTACTTTGGCAACTTCAGCCCATACTTCAGCTGTTGCGTGTGAGTTGAGAAGGGCTTGAATGTCTCCGGGGTACCGCATTACATTGATCAAAATACTACTGACAGGTGTTATGTGGAGAGGATCGATGACAGCACCAAGAGTTCAAAGCTCAGCCACAGTCATACGAAGCAGCCAACATGATGCTGTGGTATCTCGGCCATGACAACAGGCTAGGTGTCTCATAGATACTCCAACATACGAAGTTCTCGACGACCGAGACAAACCCTGACGGAAAGCAGGTTGGCCAGAGTCTCGCTGTTCCGGGTTGTGAGTCACACCACTTTAACAGAATTAGTAAGGACACAAGCATAGAAAGATCGAGAAACACATCAGGTCAGCAGGACCCGTTGTCCGTCAACTGTCCGTCAACACCATGAATTCCAAAAGATGGGTTGTGTCTTAGAGGATACGAGTGCGTGCATATAAAGTGATGCCCGTTGCGCCTCAAAGATCGACTGTCCAGAACTCCGAGAACTTTATTCCTGAGAGAAACTGGAACTGGGGGTTCATAGTTCATTCTCGCGGAAGCTCGCGGATGGCGGTGCAGGCCGATTCCTTAATCCGTTCTTACCAGCCAATCATGCCGAGAATGGATCGGCAGCTGGCGTGGGCTGTCAGATGAGTAGGCCTAATTACGGTCAGTCCGTGGTATTCAGGGAGCTCGTACGAAGTACTATCGCGAGAACTCAACCGACTCAGGGCTGGCACAGGCAGTTTCGAAATTCAAAATTACCGATGCAGTCTTATTAATTAATTTATGTCGTGTTACCAACATTAGCCAACGTGCTAGGTGTTTCGCTTGGCGGGGTCTCTTCTAGGAACAGATGAATGGGAACCTGAGACTCGATTGCAGCTAATCGGATTAATTGGCTGAACTCGGCGGAGTATGGACACATCCATGCCGTTTTTGTATACTCGCTTAAAGAGTGCCCCGTTCTTCTCATCTCCAGGTCCTCTCAAGGACTCTAGATGGGATTCTTGGCGCAGTGTCTTTCCTATATTCAATGCAGATACTCCGTACTCAGCGCATGGATGCCTGCCCTACTAGCATAACGTGACATTAGCTCATTCTCAGCTTCGCGTTGCTGGTAGGAAGTGTTTTGCGCCTTGGCGCTGAGTTGGTATGCACGATTGGGTAGTTATGTGCCAACTAGGCTGACAATAGCGGATGATCTTCGAAGTACAATTCCAGGGAAGAGGGGTACAAATCTCGGACTTCGGCAGTATCTTTCGCTACCGTAGTACATTCTTTTTTCGCATCATGCGCAAATAAATGCCATTCCTTATCAAGTAACAGTTGATGTCTTTGCTTGATACAAATGCAAGGAGAAGATGAATGAGCCCATGTAACTGCCTATATTGTCACTCTGCATTAAAGACCTCCTACTGAGTCGTATGTATTCGTGTTTACTTATCCTTTGTGCCGTCGAATGAATAAGTGCCTTAGACTGATAGTTTTCGGCTCTGTCACACGGTTTACAAATCATGAATAACAGCAATATTGTACCTTTCTCTCATTAATGTTGTTAAAGATTGGCAGAGGCCCCAACTCCGGAACAGGGATGCTGGTAAGGCAGAACGTTGTCGCTCGGCACAGGCCACTTTCATCCAATCTTTGTACTCGTACGGAATTACAAAAATTGCGATTCACGGTCCCGGTAATGATCAAGTGACACCTTCTGGCGATAGGTATCTGTCCAAGAATCAGTCTGGGCAGAGGAGCACGGAGTTATTATCAGCGGTGAGTGCCTGGTAGCAAGCATGTGTGGATAACCGACGAATTGAAACTTTGATCAAATTACTCGCAGTGTGTTGTTCTTAGAAATAATCCAGTCCAAAGGGACGTACAAATAGAGTAATTTGGCCCCGTCATCGAAGGAGGTCAATGCCTAATCCCTAGTAGCTCCGATTCAGGCGCTAAAGCAGCATCAGCTGGTAGTCTTGGTACCTGGGAATGAGGTCATCCCACGGCACAGACTGGGCCAATAGTGACTTCGATTGTTGGTCACGCACTAGTCCATAATAGTAATTCAAGGATAAGGCGGGATGATGCTTCCCGGTGGATCCGAGCATCCGAGAGAAAATCTTTCTGTTGTTTGTTCATGTAGTTCTTCTGTTGGAAAGGTCCGGATGGTAACTGGTTGTTATTGTTGCTATTGGATTGCAGTTGAGAGCTCTTTTTGTTTTTGTAGTCTACTTCAAGCTCGAGTGCATGCTTAAGGCATAGCTCTCGAGAGAAATCAGTGATATCAACTCTGACATCATGTGAATAAGTAGGCGATTTCAGGTGATCCTGGGATACATACTCTGTAGTTCCCTGGCGTTCCAGACCGACCCATGCTGAAAACGAAAAATTAGAGAAAGGAAAAATTCTTACCAAAGACCCTCAATTACTCACACAAGTCCCAAAGACTCCGCATGATGACGGTCTCTATGACCATTCCGGAGCTTTGATCCAGGCAGAAGGGCTATAAGCAACGAAGTCATCGTCATTACCACTCATATCATGCTCATCAGCATCATAAAATGGCATGATATCTTTCATCGCTTGATTTTTTGTATATCGAAAATCCCCAGGAAATTATCAAAATAACAGACATAATCAGAACAATCCGAGCCGATCAGGGTTGCGCTAGGTAATTATTCTTCTCCACCGCCGTGCTCTTCGGCAAACGGAGCTTTGGGGAGCTTCTTTGTTTCCACGTCCTTCTCGGCGCTGGGCGCATCTTATCCCCGCCTGCTCCGAAAGAATCAGAGCGAAACTCCCAAAGATTAGAAAGTCATTGTCGCGTATAAAGAGAGTGGAAAGGGGAAAAAGAAAAATACAGAGAGAAAATCGGGCCTCGCATCTTACCTCTTAATCTACTCCCCCCTTCCCTGGCTCTCATTACATCCTTACTTCTTCCTTTTTCTTTTCCTTCGGCTATCTCCTTCATACTTCAGCCCTACAAACATACCTAACGTAATTATTGCGCGCCAGGCCGGTAGCACCTCAACACCGCACCTCGTACAGCTGCGGTTCTGCGCAATCAGAAATTCTCACAATCAGGCCATCGGAATAATCATCAGACGAGCTGGAGCTTAGGTTCCTCGACTCCAGCTCTCTGTAGTCGCTGCCCACCCAGAACAACCGTCTATCTCAGCCCTTATCCCCATAATACAATAACCAAACCGCTCATGCTGCGAGCAGCATTCCGCGCCGCGTTTGCGGCCTCCTTCTTACTAGTATCCATCGCCAATGCGCTTCCTCACGGAGACGATGAATCCATGGAAATGGACATGGGCATGAACATGGAAGACACAGCAAAGTCGGAGCCGCCTAAAGACGCAAATGATGAATCCCCCATGAGTTATTTCGCATACGGAAAGCATTCGGGAACCATAATGGCTCACATCGCTCTCATGATCATTGCATGGTGTTTCGTCCTGCCTACAGGTAAGAAATCACAGCAATCACCATCTTTGGGATCTTGCTGATCAGTGCTGTATAGCCGTCATGTTCAGTGTCGCGCGTTCGCGATTTGCATTGCCGTCGCAATTCGTCTTCCTGGTGTGCAATGCCTTGGGTTTGCTTATTGGAATTATCTACAACAGTCAGACCCCTGATCTTTATGAGAACAATGCTCATCACAAGATTGGATGGGTTGCAACCTGGGTCATTAGCGCACAGGTCGTTATGTCGTTGATCTTCGCATATGCTGGTAGAGGCGAGAGAGCAAAGGCATCCGAGCAGGAAGCATTCCTCCCTGTGCCCACCGAGGAAATGTCTGATAATTCGCATCCTTATCCATCGGGGATCCATCATGCCTATCGCTGGTCAAAAGACAGCGGCCAGGGCACCGAAAGAAACTCCTTCTCCCTTCACAGTCGGCCAAGTTCACCTTCCTGCTCATCTCCGTCGGAAGAATATGATACATTTGAGAAGCCGGAGCAAGTGCTCGAGAAGCCTGCTCACCGAGGCTGGCTACATAGCACCATTTTAGGCCGCTTTTTTGCCAGTCGCGTGCCTCGCTTGGTATCTAGTCGCGTTCTCCGGGTCTTGAATGTTGTATCTTTGGTTATTGACAGGATTATCCTGCCTTTTGGCTTCGTCGCGATTGCAACCGGTGCTGTAACTTATGGTGGCATCATGGTAAGCGCTTTCTCTATCTCCGAGTTTCTCCAATGTAAGACTGCGCTAATCGAGTTCACCTGCAGCGGGGAAGCGAAGTCTTCAACGGTCTGGCGCACTTCATAAAGGGTGGAATCTTTTTCTGGTACGGTCTGTTGACCCTGGGCCGCTGGATGGGCTGCTGGGCAGATTTTGGCTGGGCGTGGAACGTCAAACCCTCGATCTCGATCGTCGGCAAATGGAAGGCGAAGATTCCTTCTGGCGAGTTCACCGAATCCTTTGTCATCTTCCTTTACGGAGCAAGCAACGTCTTTCTGGAACATCTGGCTGGCTGGGGCGGCGCATGGACTGCCACGGACCTTGAGCATGTGTCGATTTCGATCATGTTCTTCGGCGGTGGCCTGTGTGGCATGCTATTCGAATCCAAGCGCGTCAGAGGCTGGTTGAACAGCACTGTTCTACAATCTCCCGCTCATGCCGGCGTACATGGTTCGGCAGACCCTGCTTGGCAGACCCCTGATACGCAAGGCGTCTCCCTCAATCCAATGCCGGCGCTTGTCATCCTGCTTTTGGGAATGATGATGGGATCTCACCATCAAACGAGCATGATTTCGACCATGGTGCACAAGCAATGGGGAAACCTTCTCGTTGGGTTCGCCTTGGCTCGTGGCATGACGTATGCTTTACTATACCTCAAGCCTCCGACCTCCTATCTTCCGTCGCGCCCACCAACTGAGATTGTGGCATCCTTCTGCCTGATTGCTGGCGGGTTGATCTTCATGCTAAGTGTAAGTGTCTTGTGTCCCTCGCTTTCCTCCTTTTTCAGTCCACGAATTGTTACTGATCTTTTTCGGTAGACCCGCAATGTTGTTGATAGCATGGAATACTATAATTTGGATGCAATGTTCACGTTCACTGTTGGAATGGGAGTGACCGCCTTCATCATGGCTTGTGAGATTTTGGCTATTGCCCTCAAAGCTTGGGCGGTGAAGGAGTCGCGACCACAACTGCCGCCTTTCCAGTTCCCCGTCGCCTGAATCATGCCGAAATGATTTTGCAATCCCCGTTGCTAGATCAATCCCTCACGCCTCAGCATGAAGTTTTTGATACGACCCACGGAGAAAAGAGGGGAAATGGAAGAACAAAAAATAACACGGACAGGATGAACTGGAGGATCTAATGTTTACTTGTGATCTCTTTATACCCATTACACTATTTGACTTCTATGACCAGGTGTTTGGCTTTGGGTGACATGACATAATACCCGATATACCACAGCCCAGGTTTTCACATTTTTTTGATGCATTGTGATGTTTATGAACGATACACATGGTTTACGGAATGGCTAATGAGGGGTTGTTGATAACCAATGACATGACAAGAATTTTTTGGGAACAATACCTAGAGGCCTCTTATGGTCCTACCTAGTGGATATAGGATGAAAGAAACCATGAACAATTGCACAGAGTCTTGTCCAGGTGCCACCTCCTGAACCTGGTTTTAAAGCACGAGCCAAGCAGAAGTTTAGAGGTTTCTTCAGGTGGAGGTACAGCCGCTGGATAGCCAATCGTCCTCAGCAAGGCATGTTTTGCTGCTACTCCATCTCACTTGAGGCTTTGAACTAATTCGCTCTAGCGGATTTAACATGTTTTATCTATTTATCCCCGAGCCTCCGCCGCCGACGGGGAGGAAAAGCTTAGCCCTACTCCCGATTACCCGATGCTTCAACTACCTCGGTGGCTTGGTGGAGGTCAACAATGTCAGACAGACGTTGCAGAGAAAGGATGTGTCAAGGCCCGGTTATTGTCCCGCAGCTATTCGAACATGATTCTAGATGTATCAATGGACAAGGCACTTCTATCGAAGCTGTAACACAGGGTGGCCTTTACATTGCAGTGTTGTAGTACATGGAAGAGCAACCCATTAGTAAGCGTCCATGAGGGGCAAGAGTGGGGAGAGCGGGCGGGCTCCTGCGTCGAAATCGAATTGGATGGATGTTCCTTAATGTTTCTTCGGGCATTTAAGAGGGGCGACTGTCCCGCGTTATCTATCAGCTATTTTTCCCATCTTTCGCAGTCTTTGTCAAACGTACGCTCTTCAGGCAGTTTCTATTCTCATATCTAGTAAAGATGGCATCCAACCCTCCCGGAGCTTGCTGTGCCTCTGGCTTCAAGCACGAAGGCAACCCCGTTGGGGAGATCAAGACCGTCGAGGGTGGTAAGTAGCCTTGCTACTCCTTTCTTGACACAAATGGTCTCGATGCTGAGTCTTCAAAGTTGAAACCTACATTTCATACCCCAAGGACACCAAGAGCCCCGAGAAGGCCGTCGTTATACTGAGCGACATTTTCGGTATCTATGTCAACGCCCAGCTGCTTGCCGACGAATTCGCTTCCAATGGATACCTCGCCGTTATTCCCGATCTCTTCCAGAAGGACGCTATCAAGCTCAGTGACATGGAATCCGGCAAGGCTGATCTTCCCGCATGGCTTCCTAAGCACCAGACCGCCAACGTCGACCCTGTTGTCGAGTCTACAATCAAGTACCTCAGACAGGACCTGGGAGTCAAGAGAATCGCTGGTGTCGGTTACTGCTTCGGTGGAAAGGTAAGCTCCATGCTTTGAGAACTGCAAGGTACTTTTGTTGGTGCATCCCGTTCCTGACAAGGCTCTTTGGATCAGTATGTCTGCCGCTTCTTGAAGCCCGGTAAGATCGACGTCGGTTACACCGCTCACCCCTCCTTTATCACCAAGGAGGAGCTCGCTGCCATCGCTGGTCCTCTTTCTATCGCTGCCTCCGGTAAGTTGGTCCGCGAGGATGTGTTGGGTTACTATCAAGATCAAGACTGACTTTGAAAATTTGTTAGAAATCGACAACATCTTCACCACTCAGCTCCGTCACGAGTCCGAGGATATTCTGATCAAGACGGGTCAGCCCTGGCAGATCAATCTGTTCAGCGGCGTTACACATGGCTTCGCTGTCCGTGCTGACTTAAGCAACAAGCACTTCAAGTTTTGCAAGGAGCAGGCCTTCTACCAGGCTGTTGCGTGGTTCCAGCAGTACCTGTAGTCTGATGTTACAAGGACATATATCTCATATATAATTGGTCATGATTTAATGAGCTAGAAGAAATGAGATTGCAAATCAACTTTCGTATTTATGAATGGCTGAGAGATACTCCGTACCTGGACCGATAGCGCTTATCGCACACGTGACCCCGTGATCCGCGTTAGAAAGGCCCACTCAGACAAAGTAGAGTAGCCCTGAACATTGATTGTTTTCAGAACAAATCCAGTGCTGCTGCATTACCTCCTTGTATTTTGTTCGAGCTCACAGTTTAGTCTTGCAGATTTATATTCTTTGGACGATCTCTGCATAAAGCGAATCGAACTTCTGAGTCGTGTGGTCCGCATCGCATGTTTTCTGGCTTCTGCATTGTTTGCATCCATCCTAGACAGTGACACTGCACACCGGCAATTCTGGTTTACGACATATAGTGCATTGTTCTTGACTGATTATTGAATCACGACCTCGGTTCCCTCAAATCCCTTGTCTGATTGCTTCTTCGGTTGTACCGACGTCAACCCTTTTCCTTCGATCTCAATACGACAGCAGACTTCAACACAAACCAAGCAAAATACTCATCCACCTTATTCCTACGTCGGCCATCACCTTTGACATACTCAATTCGTCGCGCATTCTGTGAGTTGGGAGTTTTTATACCATTTCTCTACCAAGCAACATGGCGATCCCGTCCGCCTTACCGCCATTACCATTCAACCCTACCAGGGTGAGATCGTATGTGCTCCGATTACCACTTTTCACACGCCTTGTGTTGTTGGTCATCCTTGCGTTTTGGTTGCTCGAGCTACAAACTATATGGAGCGTGGTACAATGGGGGTCATTGACGCCGAATGAGATCGGAATCGGTAGCAGTATGTCCATCTCGGCCATGCGGGCCAATCTGCAGTCGATTGTTACGTCTTTGCGTGCGAACTGTTTTGACGCGAGAAAATAGTGTACCGATTAAACACCTATCCATTCATTCACGTCGGCTTTTTTCACGCTTTCGTGAATCTGCTAGCCCTCACACCGTTGCTGGAGCGATTCGAAGCTGAGCATGGTACATTGACTGCAGTTGCTTTATTCATTGGCCGTATGTCCTCCCAATTCGGATTCAGCAATCGCAGAAAGGCCCTATCAAGGAAACCTCGGCTTGCAGTGGGCTAATATCTATGCGCAGCTCTCTCAACCTTCCCTGCCGGTATATACATCCTGATTGAGAAATTCATCCTGCACAGTAACACTGCTGTGGTTGGGGCAAGGTAGGATTTGAAGGACTCCTTCTCGAAGTGAAGTATTTCTAACATACCCTTAGTGTCTGGGTTTTCCTACTGCTGGGCTCCGAAGCTATTAAGACGTTTAAGTCAAACCCATACTTCAGGTATCCCAACTTGAAACGAGCCACGTTGAAGTCTACAGGTCATCTAATTATTCATAGCCTTGGGACAACGAAGATTCCAACATGGACGTCACCACTGTTCGCATGTGCTCTCGTATCGATATTCGTGCCGAACACGAGCTTTTTGGGCCACTTGAGCGCTATTATAATAGGCTATCTACGTGAGTATCGTCTATCATTCTGCTTGTTGCCTGGAAATTAATGGGACATTCTCTAGTCGGTCTCGGATACCTCAAGGTGTTTGTCCCTCCAGAAAAGATCCTAAGATGGATTGAAGGAAAGCTGAACCTGCTGGGACGACTGCCACATTATGTCTCAGTAGATCAGAAAACCTATGGTCGGTATGGTGTTCTTCCTACGGCGACTGCGGCCGTAGGGGGTGAGAGGCCCACTCCTCTGAGCTATCTGGGCACGAATCAGCGCCTCGGTCCTTGAAGCTAGCACGCTCAGCAGGAAGAGATTTCAATTTTGTGTGCATATTAATCAATAATATACTTGTTAACGAGGCGTTATGTGTATCACGTAAAGTTTGTTAATCCAGTTGCATTACTCGTAGTCGATTAAAGCGAGTTGTGTAGGTGGTCACTACCGGCCGACGTAAATTTAGATACCAGCTATTGCGGAGATGCTGGTCCCAATTTATTCAACCTGCCCTCCAAGCCCTTTTACAACCACGCATGGCATGGGAAGATACTTCCGAATGTCTTCAATTCCATGGCATTGAAATGTAAGTTAAACCTTTCAAAATTACGCGCAGATTCTTGGTTTACCGGCGACATGTATCTCGATGCGCGCGATGCATCCCCTAGCATCTACTCCAGAATAGCATCAGAGGCACCTTCAGATAGATCTAAGCTGACAGTGACTGGGTGACAGCCGTGATCCGCAAATTGCGGAGCAATCCTCAGTTTCTCTTCGTACGCCTGCCGTATATACTTTCGCTTCTTTGCATAATCGCAGGAGTGGTCTGGCTTCTTCTCCTTCCCCTCGAGGAATACGCCCGTCGAACGTACATCTCCGAGAATGCGCTCTTGCCTGGCCAGGTCCATGCGTACTTCGCAGGCAGCGAACAGAACATCTTCCGCGGGTATAAAAGGGAACTCGAAAGTTTGTTGAATTCTGGGAACCAGGAAGGTCAGCAGACGAAGGATAGTGAATTGACACCAGTGTACGTTGAGACGTTGCTGCTACACCTTTCTACTGCTTAATGGTGTGGTCTGGCGGTCCAATTGCTAATTCCAATTCTGCGACTAGAATCTCGGATCAGATACAGTCGATGTTGCGAGCGGCCGGGTTGAAAGTTGCGACGCAGAAGTACGAGTACACTTCTTCGGGTATCACGCATGAGGGACAGAATGTCTACGCGATCATCCACGCGCCACGGGGCGACGCAACAGAGGCGATTGTACTGGTTGCTGCTTGGAATACTGCTGATGGAGAATTGAACTTGAATGGAGTCAGCCTTGCGCTGACGCTGGCAAGATACTTTAAACGTGGGTCGAATCTTGTCACCATGGTGGAGAAGGGGCATTCGAGCCGTGCTGACGACGATCGTTTCTAGGTTGGTCTCTGTGGTCCAAAGATATCATCTTTTTGTTTCCACCAGACAGCAAATCCGGAACGCAGGCGTGGATCGATGCGTATCATGACATGCAACCGTCCTCGGTCCAGCCTCTGCCACTGAAGAGCGGTGCCCTACAGGGAGGACTCGTTATAGAATACCCCTTCGACCATCGATTCGAGTCTTTACATATCGTCTACGATGGTGTCAACGGGCAGCTGCCCAATTTGGATTTATTTAATACAGCGATTTCAATCGCCGGGGGGCAGATGGGAATTGGAACCAGCCTGCAGGAAATGTGGGAGCATGATGATAGCTATCAAAAGCGGCTGCAGACAATCATCAGGGGTATGGTCAAGCAGGGCTTCGGACACGCTACTGGGGCACATAGTAGTTTCATGCCGTACCACATTGATGCGATCACTCTGCAAACGAAGGGAGATGGCTGGCAAGACGAGATGGCTCTGGGTCGAACTGTGGAGAGTCTCTGTCGCAGTCTTAACAACCTGCTCGAACACCTTCACCAGAGTTTCTTCTTCTATCTGCTGATGCACACCAACCGCTTCGTCAGTATAGGTACTTACCTTCCAAGTGCGATGCTGATTGCTGGAAACTTCACCATCATGGCGATTGCTTTGTGGATGCGTACGGGCTACTATATACAAGCTCAGGCGACCTCTACCACGAAAGGAGAAGGTCACCAGGATAAGAAGATTCCGGTCGACCAACCAACGAATACGGAGATAAATGGCGAATTGAATGACGCAAATCCCAAGGAGCTACCGAGTCCTGGCAGTGTCCTGGAGCGACAGTTAGCGCTCCCGCTCACCCTAGTTATCGGGCTACACCTGCTCGGCCTGGTCCCGCTTTTCATCTTCAATAACATTCATCACAAGGTCAGTCTCCTCAGTTTTGCACTGACGTAGTCCCGCAAGACTTCTAACAACCAACAGTACTATACGACCGCGACCTACACTTGCCTCGGAGCCGGGGTCATCCTCCCCCTCATCGTGTCAGCCCTCTTGAACCGTGGGTTCACTTCTCCTCCGACAACTCAGCAATATCTCCTGATTAAATCCTTCTCCCTCCTTCTCCTCGGCCTGTTCCTCTCTACCCTTGCCACTTTGAACTTCTCTCTCTCTTTCATGGTTGGCCTACTCTGCACACCACTTAGTTTCGTCAAGCGCATCAATCCCCAGACGAAAGCCGCTCTGCGGTACCCCGTCGCTATACTTGGTTTGCTAGCCTTAAATGTCCTTTCTCCTCCTGCGGTTCTCATTGGGGCATGTTGGTACTCAGGCGTGTCCGTTGAGTCAGTTCTGACTCAGGCAGCATTCGGATGGAATGTCTGGGGTATGTGGACACAGGTGGTTGTGTGGTGTGTCTGGTGGCCTGCTTGGGTGGTTGGATGTGTCTTACTAGGATCGTCTCTTCTTTGAATCCTGGGGTCAGGTATGGCTCAACATTCGGGCTAGTGTTCATACACCACCCTCATATTATTGAATATGTATATCGTTGCCTTTGGTGTTTTATAATTTACCTAAAGGTAGAGCTCATCCTTGACTGGAAAGGTCCAATCGCTCTCGTTGTTTTCTAGTTATTCAGAGTGTTCTAGTAAGGTTCGTACATACATGCAAAACAGTACCCTTATAGTACCCTCGAACGCCAGAAACATGGGCTCATAAAGGGGTACCAATCGTTACGAGGTCCACTTTCTAGGCAGCCCACACGTCCTTACCAACTCCCTCGATCCAGTGACCCAGCTGATTCACACCAGCATCCCAATCCTTGAGTCTATTGCGCATGCCTTCAATCTGCTTCATATCCAAGACCTTGGGCTGCACCCAGTGAATCTGAGCGACCTGCGCAACCTGATCAATAGCACCCTTGAGAAGACCCAGGGACAAAGCCTTCATGACCAGGTGCTCGATCTCCTCAGGCTTGACCTTTGTCTCGGAGGAGATCGACGCGAATGTGAGGTTGCGGTCGTGCGGGGGTCGACGGAAGACCATTTCTGTGAGGGCTGACAGGGAGATCTTCTGGTAGAGGAAAATGCGATGCTGCTCAAGCAGCTTGTTCTTGGAGATGTTGCCGGCTAGGACATCGTACGCAGTAAGGTCGCCGCGGTTGAAGGCAAACAGGAGGTCGCGCAGCCAGCTGTGCGGCGTCTCGGTGAGCGAGTCCAGGATTGGGTGCAGTAGGAGTTCACCAAAGTTGTAAATCGTGTCGGAGACGAGGGCGGCAACACTCAGGCTGTATGCGCGGGAGGCACGCTCTGACTCGCTGAGATCCTCCAGGTTGATGCAGGCCAGGTAAAGAAGGGCGTTTTTGTAATAGGCGGCGAATTCTTGTTTGGCCTTCACGTACGTTCATGGTTAGTTCGGGAAAGAGAAATAATGCGAATCGGACGTTCAACTTACGTGGTAGTAATCTGCGTTGACCTTGTAAAAGGAAGCGTGCACCACCGTCTCGACGGAATCGAACGAGTCCAAAACCTTCTGGCATACTTCCAGATCTTTTTGCGCTCCATCCAAGTCCTGTAGTCGCTGCTTCACGTTTGCAACTTCCGCAAGGGCATACACGTAAGCTTCTTGTGTGTCGGGTTTGTTCACTTTGTCGGCAAGTGATGTAAGGAAGGAGAGTCGCTCTTGGTCATCTTGTCATCCCATGGACTGTCAGTCAAATGCTACCTTGCGTTCTCCATTTCTAGCTAGAATGGAAGATGGATCTCAAACAAACCTGCGCATTCCGTTGATGCCATCAAACCCAGCGAGACGAACTTCAGCTGATTGATCTTGTCGGCGAAGCTCAGAACAAACGTCTTGAATATCGGTAACCGCTGAGGAGCGCTTTCAGGTAACTGGAAGAACTCCACCAGAGCGTTGGTCAATTGATGCCATAGTTTTCGTTCCCAAAAGTCTTCAAAGCTGAGGAAAAAGGCCTGGCTTTGCTCTGGAGCTTGTTGCAGCTGGTCTGCCAGGAAATCGGAGATCTTCTGGTTCTCCATGGTGGAGAAGTGAAGGAGAGATGCTGGTTTCGCGGGATGCGAGGATACGGACGGTAGGAAGGAAGAAAAGACGCAAGTATTTGAGATAAAGAGATAATTAGAGGCGGAGGAGAAGACTCGGGAATTGGTTCTATGAATCGTGAAAGCAAGGATGCTTAGGTCTTAGATGGCCGCGTTGCGTAGGAGCTTGGGCGGTGTCTCTGCGCCGCCGTAGTACCTCTTAGTGGAGAGATGACATCCCTACAAAGCTACGCCTACAATGTATTCCGTCGTCTACTGCGTTCTCTGAATGCTTATCGAGCAGGCAGCATTCTGACCCACATTGGAGCTCTGTATCTTAGCATGTGTTATTTTAAGGTACTAGAGAGGTAACTCCCTTTGCCTATGGTAACAAGATATCAGCTCGACTAGCCTGTTTCAGGACCCCGGTAGTGGATCTAGCAGTTCACATCTAGCAATGACAATGTGTCCGATATGTCTCCGAATGATGGTATTTAGACTCGCCAACTCAACATAACGTCTTCATTACTCTATAGTAGCTATCTTGAATTGAGTGAAACCGATTAGCGCTCTTACTCTTTCCTTGCATTTCTTCCGCATCGAATCTCTTCACATATCGCTTAGAGGCCTTCCAACTCATCAAAATGTCGGACTTTACTGAGTTGAACAGACAATACTTCAGGTCAGTCCACGATCATTAGCGGGTGCAGAGTACATTCCTTACAAATCCACACAGTAAACTAGCTAGTTCCTACAGGGAGGAATTCCGACAAGGCCAGGAATTGATCTTCAATGAGGTTCAAGGACGTCGCTCATGGATCAGTGACACCTGGAGCGACACCAAGTCGGGAAAAGGTCATAAAGTCAGGATGCTCGAGTACGCTTGTGGGCCTGGTGCTGTCTCCGCAGTATGTATCTCAAACAGACTTCTAAGGTGATGGAGGATGCTGCTGAATCTGAAAACAAGGCGCTAGCACCGTTCGTCGACCATATTGTTGGCATGGACGTATCCGAAGAAATGATTAAGCAATTCAACATCAACGCCCAAGAAACGGGCTTTGCGGATAAGATGCATGGCTACCACGGCGACCTCCTCGCTGAACCCGTCCCGGACCATCTATCTGGGCCTGAGTTCTTCGATTTCGATCTCGTCGCTGTGAGCATGGCACTTCATCACTTTGACAAGCCTGACATGGCGTTGAAACGCCTTGGTGAGCGGCTGAAGAAGGACGGCATGTTCTTGATTATCGATTTGGTTCCGGAGGATGAGCACTCCTCAAATAGCCTGCAGAAGGCATTTCCCCAAGCAAGCGCGACAGTTAGAACACATGGCTTCACCTCGGAGAGCATGCAAAAGTTGTTCGAAGAAGCCGGAATGGGTCAGAAGTTCGACTATCAGGTCATTCAGGAGCCGGTAGTGTTTAGAAAGGAGGGAAAGGAGCTCAGGAAGACTATTTTCATCGCTAGATCTCAGCCCAATTAGTACACGCCGGGCGCTTCTCAAGCATGTTCGCTTTTTTATCTCAGGCTGTGATGGTTGTACAAACGACATGAGGGCGTTTGCAGGCTACAGGGTACTCGGTTCAATAGAGACGAGCTTCCTGTAGGAGCTCGGGGTCAGACACCGAGCAGAACGGAGCGGCTTCGGATGGCCAGAACATTTCAAGTATCAGAAAGAGGTCAAGGGAAGTATAGACACCATCAGTTCCAGGTTGGTCACGTCCATCGTCCAATCAGAATTTCGGAATAGTCAGATGGGGATTCGCGTTGAGGGCACAAGATGGCAGTATCCCAGCATAGATTGGCGTTAATTAGACTTTGAATGGGAATACCCTCGAGATTATCCAATTCTCCTCATGGAGACGAATAGTCTGCAGTAAATTCCTACAGTGCAAGAGTAACTATTGATCGTAAGTCATTGACGTCGCTGGAGGTTGTTGTCCGAATTTGGACTAGTGCGAAAGTCCCGTGCTGCAGGTCGCTCTCTGGAGAACGACTTTCCAGCATCAAGCCCGAAACTCACCTGCCGAGCTGTGCTCTCACCTCCATCTCTCTCACAATCCACGCAATACCGATCCGGACACAACACGGTGGTCTCATTCGGACCGCGAGCTGAAGAGAGACCATGCAGAAGTGCCGGGCCGTCAATTCCGCTCTGGGGTCGAGGGCATTCGTCCCCGCCCCTCGGGTCCAATTCCAAGTGCAGCGCCGGAATCTCCAGGATGTCGCGATTACTAGAACTGGGAAGCCAATTCTGAAGGTTCAGGGCGGACGGTGAGAACAATTGAGTCGGGATTGTCCGGTAGCTGGGATGCTAACAGGCTGCTTTGTTATAGGTCCTCTCTCGGAGGTATGCCAGTCATCGCCAGCAATTCGCGTCGCTTGCAGCTCGCCTAACATGAATATCTTTGCTTTAGGTCATACCGCTACTGTTTTTGGTGCCACTGGCTTTCTCGGTCGCTACATTGTCAACAAGCTCGGTAGGTCAACGAGGTGACCCGCAGGGTGGAAGCAGATGTTGATTCGCAACTAGCCAACCAGGGATGCACGGTTGTTGTTCCCTTCCGCGAGGAAATGACAAAGAGGCACCTCAAGCCGACTGGTGATCTCGGAAGAGTTGTCTTCATTGTACGTGAGCGTCTAATCTCGGAGGTGTTGAGGCTGTTTTCCAGGGCTAAATCGGGCATCGCTTAGGAATACGACCTACGGAATACCCAATCTATTGAGGAGAGTGTCCGTCACTCCGATGTTGTCTACAACCTTGTTGGTCGTCAATATCCTACGAAGTGAGTGGCCGCGTCATGTTTTTTCATGGGGTCGGGAAAGAGGGGGCATGGCTAATGCTTCGCAGGAACTTCTCCTATACCGACGTTCATGTCGATGGAACTGAGCGCATCGCCGAGGCTGTCGCCAAGTACGATGTTGACAGATTTATCCACGTCTCCTCCTACAACGCCGACAAGAACTCGCCCTCCGAGTTTTTCAGGACAAAGGTCCGTTTCGGTCCCCCTGCGAGCGGTGGCTGCACGGAAATGCTGATTGATCGTACAGGCATGGGGTGAGGAGGTTGCTCGCTCAATTTTCCCCGAGACTACCATCGTCCGGCCTGCTCCCATGTTTGGTTTCGAGGACAATCTTCTCCACAAGCTCGCCGGTGTCACCAACCTCTTCACTTCCAACCACATGCAGGAACGCTTCTGGCCCGTTCACGTAAGCTCAGCACCAAACTAACAATTCGGAGCGTGACGCTTAACCTGTTATATAGGTCATTGATGTTGGCTCTGCCCTCGAGTTGATGCTCCACGACGACACCACTGCCGGCCAGACTTTCGAGCTCTATGGGCCGAAGAACTACTCTACTGCGGAAATTGCTGAATTGGTTGACCGTGAAATCGTCAAGCACCGCCGCCACATCAACGTCCCCAAGGCTGTCCTGAAGCCTATGGCTTACTACCTGAACAAGCTCCTCTGGTGGCACACCATCTCCGCCGATGAGGTGGAGCGGGAGTTCATTGACCAGAAGATTGACAAGACTGCCAAGACATTCAAAGACCTCGGTATTGAGCCCGCCGAGCTCAGCGACCTCACCTTCCACTACTTGGTAAGTCATTCGCCCTCGTTTAAGTTGTTAACGATACTAATCCCTCCACCAGAAAGGCTACAGAAGCTCCTCCTACTACGATCTGCCTCCCGCCACGGAGCGCGAAAGAAAGGAGGAAAAGAAGTACTTGCACGTTCTTGACGACCAGTAGTTGTCTCTGTTTCTTTTAAGTGTGTACATAAGTTTACTAGACCCAGTCAATTTCCTTGTGTTATCCCCAGTGTGTTAGGTATATCCATTCAGTAATGACGTAGTTGAGAGGCTGCAAGGGAGCCTTAGTACGGAGTACTATCGGTAATTATATGTCAAAAAGTCCTGGCTTAATCTACCTTATCAATTGGAATAGGACATCTGCTGCAGGGTCAAACAAACAGGTCATAAAGCTGTCTCGCGCAGCTCTGCTACGGACTCCACCGATCAACTTACCTGACTCTCCGAGGCTCCGAGCGTATCTTACCCCACCCATATCAAATGAACGCCAGTAAACAAGCTCAGCAATCGACCATCAAAGAAAATGACAACCTCACCTTCATATGCCTTCTCATCCTCATCAGCAACGCCCATACTGCTCCTCAAGACGAAATCTACCCCGCACGATGGCTACGAGGAATTCTTCTCCGCCCATGGCTACAACCCCGCCTTCGTCCCAGTCCTCGAGCACCATTTCAACCAGACGAACCTCCACACCGTAAAGGATCTCTTCACATCAGGCAGTCTAAATGCCGGCCCGCGGCGAAAATACGGCGGGCTGATATTCACCAGCCAGCGCGCTGTAGAGGGGTTCGCACGCTTGGTCACGAGCGAGGTAGATGGTACGTACCGTTTGCCCTGCCCTCAGCAGACATGGTCAGAACTCAAAGGAAAAGATTATCCACAAGCTAATGGCTGTAATAGTTTCAATAGCGACAGCCGCATCCCAATCCTTGATACTGTACACTGTCGGGCCCGCGACATCCCGCTCCCTCACTACCTTGCGAGACTCACATCTGCCCCATGCGACTATCTACGGCTCCGACGCTGGAGACGGCCAGAAACTTGCGCTTGCGATTCTGGAGCATTATAATGCGCTTTATGATGGCGGAGGCGTAGATGCTGGCGCAGGCGCACCGCCCGCGAAGCCACCCCTCCTCTTCCTTGTTGGCGAACAGCGCCGCGATATCATACCCAGAACGCTCATGGATGAGTCCCTGTCCCCCGCTAAGCGGATTCAGGTGAATGAGCTTGTCGTTTACGAGACGGGGGTAATGGAGTCCTTTGGAGGTGATTTTCAGGCTGCGGTGCGCGCCGGACAGGAGTATTTGGCTCTGGCTGGTCAGGACGGGGACGGGGATGGGGAGGAGGGGGTGATCTGGGTTGTGGTGTTTTCGCCGACGGGCTGTGATGCGATGCTTCGCGTTCTAGGGTTGCTTTCTTCGTCTACAGATTCCTCTGCCGGAGGTGCGGGTGCGCTGGTTGATGGGAGTGCAAGCGGGACGGAGAGGAGGGTCTTCATAGCAACTATCGGGCCTACGACGAGAGATCATCTTGTCAAGAATTATGGATTCCAGCCGGATGTTTCCGCGGAGAAGCCTAGTCCGGAAGGTGTTGGTGCTGGCATTGAAGCGTTCATGCGGCGGAGGAAGGGGATATGATTAAGGCGTGCTTGATGACTGTCACTGTACTTGTATTCTATGCCTAATGTTTCGTCACATTGGCGACGATTGCAAGGCATGATGTAAAGATATAGTTATGCTTCAGTATACCCAAAGAACTATGGCTGACAAGATCGGACTGAATGGAAAGACGGCATTGCACATCCAGAAGAAATTTCGCTCATCAAACCCGACGCAAGATACAGGGAAATTGGTATGACGTTCTAGATTGACAAACAACTAGCTGGACGCCAACATGGGAATTTGCTCACAACAAAAGCATACGGCCGGCGCTGATCTCCTATTCAGTACAACAGAAGGACCTAGGCGGAATCGGGTATTGTGGAAAGACGTTCAACGATGCGACGAGTCGTGGAAGTTGAATGTTGTTGGGAATCGCGATACGTACATGTGAGAGCATATCGCTAGAGCCTTCTTTCTATGCGCTTATGATAACATGTGCAGGAGCTTAAGCCGTCCCTGGATCGGCGGGTGAGATGGTCGAGTTTCATCCTGCCTTCAAGGTCTGCTGAAGAGTTGCCATTAAATCGGATACAGTCTAAGAGTATTGCACGAGACGCCACTGACTCTCTACCGCATGATTTCTTCGTAGATCAGGGCTGCGGATGACTGGTCAGCGGTCTTTCAATGAAGCAAGCGGATAGAGCGAAAACTGACTTTTCAATTGCTCCTTGCTGAGAGCATCCTTGTTCTTGTCAAAATCAAAGAAGCCCTCGGGAATTGGGGGAGCCGTGGGCTCATCGTCGGGGTCGTGGTACGGCTCCAGATAAGGATGGCGTAGAGCATCTTCAACCGTGATACGTTTTGCGGGGTTGAAAGCCAGAAGTTTTTCCAGTAGATCCAATGCTAATTCGTTGCTCTTGGGGAATAATGCCTTGAATGGGATCTTCTTCTTGAAGGGAAGAGAGCGAATGTACTCTCGAGCCCGGCGCGATTTTATGCCGTAGTAGTCTTCCATGGTTGGTGTTCCGAGAACATCCAGAATGAGGGTCAATTGGTGATGGTCTGCTCAGTCAGTCACGGAACGCTTCACTAAGAAAATTCCCAAAAGCACAGCAACTTACAGTCTTTCCCAGGGAACAAGGGCTTCCCGCTCAGCATCTCGGCCAAGATACACCCAACACTCCAGACATCAATGGCTTTCGTATACTCCTTGAATGTCAGCATGATCTCCGGCGCACGGTACCATCGAGTCGCAACGTATTCTGTCATGAAACCTGAGTTGTCATCGGTCGAGGCAGCCGACCGAGCCAAGCCAAAGTCGCAGACTTTCAGGTCACAGTTGGCGTTGAGTAGCAGATTTGAGGGCTTTAGGTCACGGTGAAGCACGTTCGCTGAGTGCATGGCTTTGAGTGCACGGAGGGTCTGGTAGATAAAGTATTGGCAGTGGTCATCAGAGAGGTCCTGGGTGCGGATGACACGATGCATATCGGTTTCCATCAACTCCTGTCCAAGCAGTCAGCCTTTCGAGGTCTAGACGTGTGTGTGTGTGTGTGTGTCGAGAAATGTACCTGAATCAAATACACCTCGTTGAAGCTCTCATAGTTGCGAGGCCTCTGAATATCCAAGATCGAAATGATGTTTTCGTGGTTAAAGTAGCGCAGTAACTTCATTTCACGCAAAGTCCGCAAACAGAACATGGAGTGATCGAAAGGCGTAATCTTCTTGATGGCAACTTTCTGACCAGAGGGTTTATGGATAGCCGAGCTGGAACAAGTCAGTATCGGAGCCAGACTATCGCTATGGACAATACCCACCAAACGACGCCGTAAGCACCCTCTCCAATGACATCTTGAATTTCATATTGCTCAGAAACGTTGAAGGAGATCTTCCTCGATCCTCCTTGAGGAGGTTGCTGCACCATGGTTGCTAACTTTCAGCATCAAAGAAGGTTAGTCAAGAGCCCTTCAATTGCAAAAGTGATAGTCGCAAATCAGATCATGGTCAAGGTCACCCCTGCAACAGTGCATCATTGTTCAAATTGTTCAAGAAGCCCCAGAACAGGAGTTGGCGCACTCCTGCTTGAGGGCTTATCAAGTACTGTTTGGCATTCAACCCGATGAGCCACACAGTGGCTCGGAAACAGATAATGAAAGTCGGCGCTTACATTGGTTTAATCCGTGGTAATCGTAGCTTTGGACGAAAATTCTTGATTTAGATGTAGCCAATTCTCATACCGCGGTCGCGCTCGAATTGCCGAAAGTCGCCTGGAATCTGTGGAAGGCTTGAAGCGGGGTAAGATCCGTGTGGGGGGCTGAACGAGTATACAGCAACGTAGTAATACGAATTCGAAAAAGATAGATCAGACGAGCACGCCAGCCTTTCGAGGGTATAGGGAGTCGAATTCAAGCAATGGTTGACAAGCTCGAGATGTAGCCACAAAGCTATTCGGATGAATAGGTCGACGTTCTAGACGGTCCCGAGTCAGTCTTTGGGAGATAAAGTAAGCTTCAAGATCAGGGCCGTCAAAGACTTTTTCAGGGAAGATTGAGACAATGAATGGTGAACGCGATCAAAAGACCTTACCGAAGCTCAAGCTCTAGCTTCTGTGGTCTCCGAGACTCGATACTTCCCCAGGTAACTGATAATGGCTATCTGTTGTTCCCCTGAATGGAATCAGCCGCTATCCTCGTTTGCCGCTCAGATAGCCAGCTTCCAGTGTATCGGATAGCTTGCAGCAGGTCGATGACAGAATATATGTCGTTTAAGACAGGCAGTAGAACAAATGGCAGAGCGCAAGAAACAGAGGAGAAGGAAGGTCGACTAGTATCGTGATGCGGAGGGGCTGGAGAAAGCAATAATAACAGGGAGCGGAACGGCCGAAGTGAGGTGGGGCAGCTTTGGTCAGGAACAAGCAAAGAAATAGAGTGAAATAAGACTTACCGAGAGATTCCCGAAGAGAAATTTGGGGATATGTCACGAATGCGTAGATAGAGGAGTAAATAGAACCTAGGTAGATGGAGGAGGGATGGCGAGAGTTGTTTACAGGAATATAGATTTGGTACAGGAGACCCAATGTTGTCGCTGATGATCGACAGTAGCTAATGATAGTAGTGACTTATCGATATGGAGATTCGACCTCAATTTCAGCGTTGGCTGACTGATTATATCGATAGTTACCCTCAATTTTTCAAGGAGTCGTCAATAGCTGGTTGGAGTTTGGTACCATAAGGAGCTGAATAGAAAATTTTCGCTTATTGTTGATTCTTCTCCTTATTATTGTTGGGTTTAGGGGGGTGAACACATCAGCTAAGGTAAGACAGGCACACGAAAAGTCCGGGTGTTGGCCGGGATCGAACCTTGGATCACTCAGAGAGGGGCCGCTGTGGATGTATATACTGAGGCAGAAGTATAGAAACTTTCAGTTTCCCTGTGAGAATGCTCGTTGAGGGATCTTCTTCGTCAATCGTGTACGAGGCGCGGATTTGTGACTTGATATCTGGAGAGTCTCGCAGCAGAAAATTTTTACAGGTAATACGGGACAGGATGGTGAACTCGT